GGTCTGCAGTGTGGAATCTGTTTTGATGTTATGATAAAAAAATAATTTGACAAATGGTTTACACTAGGGGTCAGCAAACTTTTTCAGCAGGGGGCCAGTCCACTGTCCCTCGGACCTTGTGGGGGGCTGGACTATATTTTGAAAAAAAAAAAAAAAATGAATGAATTCCTGTACACACTGGGAATAATAGGGTGGGGGAAGGGCAGGTGTAATAAAATAAAATAGTGTGCATTAAAGTGGGGTGGGGAAGGCTCCTCAACAGACAAGCTCACCCACTACCATGCTGCTCATCCTCCTGCCACCCCCCAAAACATACACACACACAGACCCACAATCGCTCCACAGAGAAAAGGGAGGCAAGTTCAATATGCAGAGAATGGCCGAGGTGAAGGAGAGATGGCGGCTCTGGGGAAGCAGCACCAGGGGGGTGGAGCTGGAAGAAGAGGCAAGTGGGGCAAGTCCCCCCAACCCCTCCCCCCAACCCCTAGCCACCTTCCCAGTTTGCCGCCTGCCTCATTTGCCAAAGGGCTGGCAGCGGTGGCATGAAACAGGCTTCCTCCCCGCCTAGAGAAAGAGCTGCCACCGCTGCTTTTCGTGAAGCGGGTAGGCAGAATGAGCTCATCCACTCCGCTCTCTGGCCCACAGGAGCACCAGGGCGCTGGTGGCGATGGGGATGGGAGGAAGATTATTATTATTACTACTACTATTTCCCCAATGGCCTGACTTGGAGGGAGAACAAGAGGAGAAAGGCTGGTGGGAAATCAGAGAGAAAGAGAGGAAAGAGGATTTTTGTCCTTCCACCATCTAACTCCCCCCGCGCACTCAGCTTTTGGGGGCACAAAACAATACAAATACTAATAATAATATTAATGATATCGGGGTAAGTTAGCAAGCAAAGGCCACTGAGGTAAACCAGGTAAACCAGGCACAACGTTTGATTGGCAGAAATGTCCCCGCGCTGCGCTGAGGTAAACCAGGCACGGTGTTTGATTGCCAGAGCCGCCACTGCTTGGCCTCTTCCTCCTGTTGCGATTGCCGGGAGTCTCGGCTTTGCGGCGGGTGGTGGGTTCTTAAATGGCCGGGCGGGCCTAATCTGGCCCAGGGACCATAGTTTGCTGACCCCTGGTTTACAGAGAATTCTCCCCTCATAAGTTTCTGGTTACAGATGTGCTATATACACGAAGTCACACCTACGTGCTCTGTCACTTCATTGCTAGCAGCTAGTCCAACTCAACTTCATCTAAAAATACTGTATCTGAGGCAAAAGTAGTTTTCTTTGCCTCTGGCATTAAGTCTACTTTGGCTTATTCACTCATGCACTTAAGTGATTGATGTGCATGTGTGCAATGGCCCTAATGAAACCAATGGGGTTTACTTCCAAACAAACAGCTTTAGGGCTGAGGTCAGTCACTTAAGTGACTTAAATGACATTTAAACCTGTGTGGGAAGACCTAGGATTGACACAAAATGGCCATCAAAAAAAGCTACATGTTTATTGTGCTACTTTATGCAACACATGAAAGAAACTAATTAGATACAGGTATTCACTGAACATTATTTACATTGGTGCTCTGGTTGGATTACTGAATGAGGACACTAAAAATTGCTTTCAGGACACACAATATATGTTCTGGCATGCATTTCTTATTTTCATAAGCCAGCAGAATCTTGGAAGGCTAACTCTGAGCTCTGCTTTCAAAAGAAAAAGTGGCAAGTTATGAGCAGAAGCTACTTGAATTCATTTCTGTGGTTTCCATGTCTGGTCCTTTCGTTAAATGAAAACACCCTTTGAGTGTTTCAACAGCATCCCTTTACTTACGTATTGTTCCAGTACCACAGATTTCTACAGAAAAGGGTTCTCTGAGAGAGTAAATTACTTTTGACAACTATGCAACTAATGGTTAAGGGCATAGATACAAAGATGCTGCAAAAGGGTTGAGTGCTTTTTTTAACTCTTTCCAGTTTGAGTGCTTTTTAACTCTTTCCACTGTGCAAGCCAGAAAGGTGACTTTCAGCGTTTTCTGTCTTGTTCTATACAAGTATCATATTACATGATGAGCTAGCAGGTGGCTTTTACTTAATCTGATAACATATGCAGGTGACCCATGCAAGCATTATTCCTATTTTACAGACATGAAACCCAGGCTGAAGAATTGCGTTTACTAAGCAAGCTGGTAAAACACAATAACCCAGTTTCCAAGCTCCAAGTCAAGCGCTCATGTCCTTCATTATAGTTCCTGTTCTGTTTTTGAAGTTTAACACAGCACAATTTCAGGAGTGGCAATGCTTGTCTCAGTCATACTCCATTATCTAAATCCGCCACCTGCATCAGGCTGAAATAGAGTCCTTCTCTCTTTTTCCTTGTTATCCCTAATCACTGAGTGGAAATGCTGTTGTAGTCTTGGCTTGCCACACTTTTTGCTAATAATTTCCTTCCTCACAAATCTACAGTTATGTAACATCCCAGAAAGACAAAGATGCCTACAGAAATGCGCTGTTTCACAAAATATACAACCCATGTTAGAATTGTGTATGTCAGAGTGATTAAAAACAAAACTGATATCATGGATGGGTGGCACAGAATCAAACAATCAGCTTGAATGTTCCAAGGTGTTGTGGCAATTCCACTCCTGCTGTGGTTTTGACAGCATTGTGGGTTGAACTTAAAATGGTAACTCACATTCTTATGTGCTGTTTTGGACTGAATCAGCAATGTACACTTGGGCTTTCAAAGAAATATTTGATGATGTTCCCCACTAAAGGTGCCTGAGTAAAATTAGCAGTTACAGGATAAGAGGACAAGCCCTTTATGGATTGACTTTTCTCACAGTGGAAGGGATTTCCCCTCAAGGACCTGTATTAGGAGCAGTGCCTTTACACTTGTTCATAAATGATCCACATAAGAAGTAAGGCAGACAAGTCTGCATATGACACAGAATTATTCAGGGTGCTTAAAGCCAGAAAGAGATTGCAAAAAAGGGATTGCAAGCGGTTCCAAAAGTGAATGTCTAAACTGAGTGAATGGGCATTAAAATGGCAAATGCAATTCAAGATAGGTAAGCGCAAGATGGTGAGCACTGAAGCAAAAAATTTACTAATCCCACATTGATGGGGGCCTGGGATGGTGGTGAATGATCAGGACAGGGATGAGGTTATTATTATTTATTATATTTGTTAGTCACATTTCTAACATTGATTGTGATGAATTAATTGGTCAATGAAAATGTCAAACCAGTGTGGCAGTTATGAAAAATGCTAATTCTATGTTAGGGATCATTTGAAAGGCATCAAAAAATAAAATTTGCTACTATTGTAATGCCTTTATTAAAATCTATGGTATAACGTCACCTGGAATACGGTGTGCAATTTGGATCAGAAAGGATATTGTAGAGCTGGGAAAAGTGCAGAAAACGGAAAAAAAAAATGGCTGCAACTGGGCTAGTCCCACTATGAGGAAAAGTTACAATATCTTTTTTGGAAGAGGCAGGGGAGTGAGTAAAGTGGGAAATGATACAGACATTTAAAAAATCATGTACGCTATGGAGAAAGCAGGTACGAGCTACATTTTTCTCCTACTCATACAGTATTAGACCCCAGAGTCATCTAATGAAGATGACTGTTGGGATATTCAAGATGGAAAAAACGAAGCGCTTCTTGACACAACACACAGTTAAAACTATGGAATTTGCTACCATGAGTTAATGGAGGATAATGCAATGGCTGCTAGTCAAGTTGGGGGGAAAAGATTGAGGCAAAAATATCCTAGCTCCACAAGACGCACCAGACCATAAGACACACCTAGTTTTTGGAGGAGGAAAACAAGAAAAAAAATATTCTGAATCTCAGAAGCCAGAACAACAAGAGGGATCGCTGCACAGCGAAAGCAGCAATCCCTCTTGCTGTTCTGGCTTCTGGAATAGCTGTGCAGCCTGCATTCACTCCATAAGACGCACACACATTTCCCCTTACTTTTTAGGAGGGAAAAAATGAGTCTTATAGAGCAAAAAATACGGTACATGGATGATGTCTGATCTGGTGGTGAGTGATGGAGAGAGCTGTTGGGCTCCAATGCTTGCAGACTTCCCTTAGGCATCTGGTTGGCCTCTGAAGGAAACAGGATGTAATCCAAAACATCCGGAGAGCACCAGGTAGTGGAAGGCTGCTTTAATGTTACCTTGTAGCTACCACAGGCTGTGCCTGAGACTATGGCAGGAAGTGTAATCTTCAGAGTTGATCTGTTTGTGCACTCTGACATTTTAATGTAGTGTTTCCACATACAAATTTACAAAAAAAACCCTACTAAAACGAAGTATGCACATATTTTGTTACCAGCTGGTCTAGTCTACTTGAGTCTGTTTGCACAAGAATTTCCTGATCTGCTTCACACTATCCAGGAGGCCCGACCTCCTTTCTTATAAAACTATTTAGCTATTCCATTTTCAGTTCCAAACTCTCGTTATTTTAGCTAAGCTGCACTATGACATCATGCTTTTCTTAAACAGATGTTCCTCCTCCTCCCACACCTATTCCATTGCCATCTTCTGGATTCTCCATTCATTACGCCATTTCCCCCATCCAACTGAAATTTGCCAATTTACCCTAGTTTCTGTGAAACTTGGCGTTACAAGCATTTTCATGCTGCAGATTATTCCTTGCCCTTTACCTGGGAAGAGCTTTGCTAATGGCGCGTCTCCTGAACTTGGGAGTGAAGCAATGCCTGCCCTCTCTCACAAAGCCAAGAAACAAAGTGAAGGTCAAATGAGACAGATGACTGAAGACACACATAGGACTCCAGTAACATAACAAGGTCAGCTGAAGGCATATGTGTGTGCGCACACATGTAATTATGAGGCAAGGAATGTGGTGTAGTGGAAAATGGCTTTGATTACCTACTCTGAGAAGGGAGATCCCATAGGCCTCCATGTGGGATCACCTGCAAGAGCTAAGTCAACCACAAATAACCAACCATTCAAAATTATGCTGCAAATTCTATAACATCTGGGAAAGTGCTATAGTTCAGTGGTAGAGCATTTGCTTTGCCTGCAGGGAAGACCCAGGTTCAATCCTCGGTACCCTCAGTGCTTTGAAGAATTAGCCATGTCCCTCCTAATAGTGATACTAACCTCAACCCAGATTTGTCACTAAGTCTGCTGCTATTTGTATAGCTCTAAAGGCAGTAGCTGCTATGGAGTCTGTTAAAGGTTAGTTCCTGTAACATGAGAACTGAGAGTTTCTTAGTAATGATAGGAGTATGGCATAGCAAAGGTTAATTTACCTTGCCCCATCAGACTGTGTATTCTGCTGGTCAGAGTCAGGCTGCTCAAAAGTGGCTGGTTGCTAAATCAGCCCAGTTACCTAAACCACAGGTGTTTGCAGTAACATGGGAAAAGGAAGTATATTATCTTTCTCTTTTTTTGCACTGGGGGCATCCTGGGAAATTCTACATTGAAACTCTTTTTGAAGAATGTGTGGCTACCACCCACACCGGGGGGGGGGGGAGAGGAGAGAGAACTAAAACATGGGATATATAGTCTGAAGGTACATGAGGTCATGACCTTGCTGAAGTTCAGCAGGTCTGAGGATGGCCATTGCCTGGATGAACAACCACCAGGGAATCACATGTATGCAGCCTTGGGCTCCATGATGAAACAAAGACAGGATATAAATGTAAGAAAAATAAATAAAAATGAATACCCTACCTTTGATTTCTTTCTTCACCTGAATTCTGCCATGCATGCTACTATGTCTCATCTTTCTTATAGGATACCATTTTACTATCCCCAGAAAGTCAAAGAAAAGCACTATTTATTGTATAGTAAATTTCCTCTCTCACTCTGTTATTGTCTTCTGTCTTTCTGGTCATATTAATTTAGTCCTATCCAACAATAATCTGCTACTCCCTGGCAGAGGCTGATAGTAAAAGGGTGTCAACTCTTGGCTTCAAAAGAGCCCATAGTAAGAAGTGCAATCAATTATCATGAGCTGACAGCTTTCCATCATAAGATGGGTTTGGAGTCTCCCAGCAGCAAATGAATAAATTAAGCAGCATTAGGAGAACACCTCATGGACCTTTTTTGTTTCCTTGCTAATTTTTTTGCACTAGAAAGATGCAAGTTAATTTAGACAGGAAGACGGGGGAATCTAAAATTATCATCTTCATTTGGTATTTGGGTATCAGGTTTTCTCATCGAGATTCATTCACCTTCAGCGCTATTGAACAAGCTCGCAAAGCCACAGGAAAAGGGGACTAATTAAATAAGCCTTATTTGCTCCCCTCCCTGCACACCTTATCTAGAACTATTTACAGCTGTTGGAGGAACTGTGCCCGAAGCTTCAGAGCAATCCTTGTAAAGCAGCAGAATGTTACAATGCTCAGAGTAGCAACGGCCTATATTCAGGGTCTTCAGTGTCCAGGCTCACGTGGTTTTACAGAAAATAGAATAATGCTTGACTACAAACACAGTAGTTGGATCACTGGAGTCAACAGCACCCTTAATCTCTCTGCCCATACTCAGCAGCAGACTGGAGCTGTGTAATACAAATTCAGAGAGCTACCTTCCCTTGTCAGTGTTACAGTATTCTCAGTGCTTCTCCTATTATATGCAAACCTCTATAATGTAAAGAAAATGCTGCTGTGATCACAGAAATACTACCAACTATGCTCACTTGCTCAGTTCACAAGTTGCATGTGCCCTCATGAATACATTCTGGGAATGATGATTTGGATGTTCAAGTAAAGGTGTGTGAATTCGTATTGGGTCTACAAGCCTACTAGCCCATGGGGAAGGACTCACGGGAAAGGTAAGAAAGAAGAGATGTTTCTGCATTCCTGAAATTTCTCCCTCGGCCCCCCAAGGGCCTGAACAGCACAGAGTGTCCTTCCTCAGGGCTCCAGACAGTATGTAACAGGGATATTGTAGTGCTGTTCACCCCCCTTTTAGAGGTGGTGTTATGCAGGTGCCGCTTGCATAATCTAGTTACAGGAATCATTAGATTGTAACATTTTCAGAAGAATACTTAGACCTACCTGAAACTCCTGGGGGTGTTTTAATAAATTTCCCATTAAAATGAGCAATTACTGCTTCACATTTTTCTGTCGATTCCATCCTGTGTAAAAGACAAAAAAAGAGATAACTGTGTAATATTGACTTGCACATGTTTTGCTTTCTTATTAGGTCACAATGACAAAGCCTCCAGCCCAGTCCAGTCGTAATGACAAAACAAGGCTTGGGCGGTATGTGGATAAACATATGACTTGTGCACTCCCTCCATCCCTTTGTGCACTGTAATGTCTTTTCTCATGGCTTGCTGGCCACTGTTTGCCAACACATGCAAAGTGGGCCAACCGCAGTTTTCTGACAAAAAAGAGAGGCAGTAAATCTTAGTAGATGAACCCAAGGCTTGTTCCTGTAGTGCCAAACCAGGGAGAGAGGCCATAGCTCAGTGGTAGAACACATGCTTTGAATGTTGTGTGTTCCTGGCTCACTTCCCAGAATTTATGACTGGAAAATCTCCTTGAGGGATGCTATTGGTCAATATTGAGATGGATGGACCAGTGATCTGCCTCATTATGAAGAAGCTTCCTATGGTTTGGAATTATGTCTGTGTCCATATCTGTCTATCTCACTGTCTCTCCCCGGCTCCTCCTACAAGCTCTATGCAGTGCTTGCACATTTTTGTATGTGTGTAAGAAGGATGCTTTAATTGTGTGTTTTGAAAAAATAAATTTTGGATAAGATTTATGCTTTCCCCCAATTATTGTTCCACTATTAAACACTGAAAGTAAACATTCAAATGGCAGTGTTTTTCTCATTGCACATTGGAACTATCTAAAAAGGAAATTCAACTTGTCTTGGGTATGGATACAGTTTTCCTTATTTAGTCTAACAGGTTTCTTGTGTGTAATTACTAATCAAATTCAACTTTGTATATTACCTTTGTATGGATATGGCAATACTGGGTAATTATTTCTGAGTACTCATTGTGTAAGAATCCTTAAAATAACTGAGCCAATTAAAAACATGCAAAGAATAAGGCAGCAATATTAGGATTGGAATAGAAGGCAACTAACAACTTGTTTGATTGCAGTTTAATATTGTCTAATAAGTCAATATTGCCCTTGTGTCAGTTGTGTCCCATCTTGTAACTGCAAGAGAGCAATAAAATTCAAATTGCACCTTAAAGCAAGTGTGGTGTGAAAACCCATTTTTCTTCAAAATTCAGGCCCCACACCCATTCTTCTAAGACCAGCCTTTCCAAACCTGGTGCCCTTCAGCAGTTTTGGACTATAATTCCCATCAGCCCCAGCTGCCATGCTGATTTAGACTATAACATCTTATGTTCTTTAACCACACCCATCTTTAAACATACACTTTTGTCTTTTGTGGCTGGTACATTAATAATAAGCTGTTAATGCCAATATTTGACATTTGCACAATTCTCTATTACAGTACTAACAGGTGCATGCCATGCATCCTTGATTATTATTTGACCCATTAATATTTTGGTTAAATGATCAGTCCTACCATCTTTGTTTTGAGTTTCGTGTCATGGTAAGATACTGTTTTCCTTTGCTAAGCACCTTCATTTTACTTTAACTATAATTGTTCTGAAGATACTATTCATGAAGTGATATAAAAGACAGCTACCATCGTACCTTGCAAAGCCAACCCCACGACTTGTGCCATTGGAATCACGAAGTATTCTTGTAGAGATAACTTGCCCAAAAGGTTTCAGCATATTCTCCAGCTCTTGTTCATCCATTGAAAGTGGCAAATTGGAAATATATAGATTAGTTGGATCCTGCTCTTGTTGCTGAAAAAAAAGCAATAAAAATAATATTACTTTTCAGAAGAATATTGGAAATTTTGAACATAAAATTGTACCCATGAGACTTACTTTGCTCTGAAAGTCTCCACAATAAAGTGGTACCAACAGCAGTCGTAGCTAAATGTGTAATTTTGAAGTCACTGAATAGCAGTCTCTCAAGACTTCCCTAGGAGATCAATGAAACTAGAGAAACGGCTGTGGCCAAAATGTATGATTACATCTATTCATCGTTACTATCATTCACAGAATAAGCTCTTCCTTCTTCTGACAACATAAGCCATTATCATCTCTAGAATTACATTCATGGGAAAATAAATAGATAAAAAGGAATGTATTTGCTGCACCATGGAAGGGCTTTTTCCATGCTGGATCCTGCATCCCTGGAAAAATTGTCCCAATTTTAATCAGTTAGCTAAGATGATTCACATGAAAGTCCACAACAGATCACAAGGCCTATTTCAAAAGTTCTGCAGAATAAAGTGGCTTTGCTCAGAGTTGGTCAAAAAACCATGGCTCGGGTTCAAAGATTCTGATGTGCAAGTAGGAGACCCTTCTGCCCATAGGTTTTCTGTTGCCAATTCCCCCTCTAAAAATCCACCTCAGGACTCCTAGTCAACCCCCTGAAGTTTGTGAGGACAGTTGTACACAGAAAGAGAATCTGTATGTTTGCACTGGAGTATTTGGCTCTAACTATCTTGTTTGAGTGAGCTTGAGATAAATTAGAGCATGTATGATCAGGAGCTCTTCTTCTGCCTCCTGAAGCTGCCTTCCATATTTATATACACTATCTCATTCTCTCTTTGACAGGGAAGACTAAGAAGTCGTTGGCTCTATCTTAACATTATATAAAGATGCAGATTATGAATAAACAGATGACATGAGAATAGTACAAACACCCCAAGGCGTTCATACAAAGCAGTAACAAATTTAAAGTGAGGGCAACTTCCATGTACGATCAGGCTCTGAGAATCCATATAGCAAAGACTCACGAGAAGCACATGCTTCTCAAAGGCGAGACAATGAAACTGAATATACAATACAAAATTATTCAGAAAGCGTATGTGTCACCTCAGCAATTTGTAGCAGGTCTAGCTAGTAAAAAGAAAGGAAGAATAACACAGCAACGCTTTTAGGTAGAGGATGCTTTTCGGCCTAACCAAAAAATACATCAGGCAGCAACACAGCAGTGGGCTTCTCAGTGATGGCACCCACTTTATGCAATACAAAAGGCACCAACAGTGGTTTGTCT